AATATAAAATTCTTTGCACACTTACGTCAGACTTTTTTTCTGCTTGTGTATTGCCTATTAAGATTTATTTTTATTTTTTAAAGTTATTAAATGAGAATCATCTCATTTAATAACTTTATTAAATGAGAATCATTTCATTTAATAACTTTATTAAATGAGAATCATCTCATTTAATAACTTTATTTATTTTTATTTTTTATTTTTTTTATACAGTACGAGATACAAAGCAAAGTAATTCTTATATTCACGCGATTACTTTTATTTGCTCTTAATGGTTGTTTTTGAATCAACAGCTTATAAAGATCTCTAAAATAACTTTTATGTGATTTGTTTCTTATTCTTTGTCAATCTTTATCTTCAGTTACGATCATCCGTCAATCATCAACGGAAAAGTCAAGATTCCCGTGACATAGTGATTCGATGATACTTCGCATCGATTGGCTCTTCGTAAGTCGTGATTCTCCCAAGTCTTATTATCGAGTCGGTTTCACGCGTAAATGACTATCGCATTATTATATTATCTTCGATCGCATCGGCACGACGTTTACTCGTCCCTCTTTTATTTTTCACGAACGAAGATTGTCTCAAAGGAGTTCTACGTAAAGTAAATATAATTTTCCTCTTCAGTCCTCTATTTTTCCGTCTCTTTTCTCCGACTGGCAGTTACGTCTGACCCCACGGCAAATGGTTTCTCGCGTTGTTCTCCGCGGGAACACGGTGATTGCAATGAGTAGCCGAGCGGACAAAGTCAGAATTGAGCGATTTGATATTGTTTTAACATCGATATGATACCGGGGCGGTCGCGGGAATCCGCTTACTCCGTCTCGCGACACTATAAACCGTATCAATTCAATTTCATGCGAACTCTTCCGAGAACATTTGTTTGTCTTTTCAACGTTTATCTTGAAATGTTGCGGTGTCGTTTATTTCTCTTTTTCTCCTCTGAAAGTTTGACTAGTGATGATCGATGATATATAATGCAAGTAGTTTATGATTGCACTGTAATCGAATAATCGAGTAATCGGATGTCGTTGAATGTTCGTCGAGCAAAAAAATATACTTCGACAAAGACACTTCTTTGTGACAAAGTGAACATAGGTCATCGTAGTTATTGATATATGTAATAAGATCGTTACTTTTTTTTTGGAACAAAGGTTGTATTATGTATCTATCTATATATACATTGTTAGTGTGGGTTAGTATATAAAATAAAGTGTTTAAATATACGAGAAATATGTAATAATGGTTTCTTGAGTTAATAGTAATTAAACAAGGTAACGCGCGTGTGCGTGGAAAACATTGTTTTTGTTTACTGCTTGGTAGAAAAAAAAATAATAATTTTTATTGCTTGACAAACGTTCCACACTTCAATAACATATAATTAGACAAATTTATGTTCGATTATACGTTATGCACATATACTTGCGCCTGTAATTCTTGATATTCCGCACGATAATCATTTGTCTATTAACACACAAAACAATTAAAAAACATGAATAATTTTAATTCATTATGTTTTCCCAATGCTTCATGCACTGATGTCGGTTTTTGAAGTCAGGCCGCGGTTTCTTTTCTTATTAGCAAGTTGAGCACTTTGATTTATATCCCTTCGAGCAGTCGGGTGAACAATGTCCACGCTCGATTGCTTTTAACGTCATTTCGCCACCGACGACATTGGGAGACGCGACGATCACTGCACCGAGGATAAATCCGCGACGCTCGAAGGGACAGCGCGCGCCAGGACCTTTTTTAGTCGCGCTTTACGGCGCGAACCAAAGGGTCGTGAAGAGCTTCCTCTCGTTTTCCCCCGGGAGATCGTTTGATCTTCTACAGTAGATAATTCGCCTCGCGCGCCGACGCGTTTTACGTGACGCGAGGCGCGAGACGTGCACGCGAGCGCATTTCGCTTTGTCGCCACCGCCGTCGCCGTCGCCGTCGCCGCCGCCGCCGCCGCATGAGCGGGCCTTTTTCTAACGTTCGTCAACGTCGGACAATTTCTTCGTTTCGGCGCGAACAAACGAAAGTAGTGATATAAAAGGAAAAAACAACCGGCGAAAGCAGATGAATTTAACCAGCGTGAAACAAGATTAAAATGATCTCGCGGCTGATGTTTCTGTTAAATTAACCTTCTGTCAAAATCTGCGCGTTATAAAGATTCTAAAGTTTTCGTTGTCATTTCTTCTTAACCGTTCACTTCCGTCTCTGTTTGAACTTTTAACATGTTTTACACACAGCATTTATTATACGTGAATTTTGTGAGAACACTTGCGAAACCACATTTTTTTTTTATTGCTTCATTTCTTAGATAAGACACTCTTATACACAACCCGTATTGCTTTCACCGAACAAGCAAGAAACATGGTACGGCCAGTGTGTCTAGCTGTCTAGTTGAGCCACTTCGCCACTATGGCGAAGTTGCGCCGTTTTGCGAAACATACCTATATACCTTATAAGCTTGCAGGACACATTCGGCGATAATGAAGAGCGATCGTAGCGATATATCAACTGCGATTACGGTCTTATATACGACGCGCGAAAACGGATGAGACAAGGTGATCCACTTATTCCACCAGTAGGCATGAGTGAAATCACACATCATGTTGTCTCTTAATATCAAATTTTTTCTCGCCCGATTACTTCGCTTACGGTATTGTGTTCTCTGTGTGGCAAAGAGTATTCAAAGTTATGCGACTCGTATTAAAAAATGACAAACGTCATTATTTACAAGTAGAAAAACAACATTCTGGAACATGGATGATAATCGAATTGTGAGAATAATTAAATTTACCTTTATAATTATGATAACAAATACAAAAAATTTACAAAAGTTTCGTAAGGCATTTTTCATCAGAGTTATTGATTCAATTGTGTTTAACGCGTCAGCTTAATACATAATTACTTCATAATTAATAATTTTACGTTGTTAATAATTTAATGTAATAATTAAATAATTTAGTAACGTAACAAATGTGTAATGCCATTCAACTCTCTCGTAATAGTAGATCGAATCATTTCATAATTTATTTCGTGAAATTTTGGAAAATTGTGCTGGCAAAATATATTCTTTTAATGTTTGGTTTTGCATCGTACACATTTTTGTTATTTCTTTATAGATTCTTGCAAAATGTTAATAGTCATACAGTTTACACAATAAATATGCAAATAACTTTTGCAATGGGATTATAAATTATTCAACTTAGATAAATGACGTGCATAAGATGTTGTGTACGTATACTTGCAAAAGCAATATAATATGAACTATAAAATGTTTCGCAATACTTGCGTGTATATGTGTGCATGCGTAATATAATTATACATTTGCATTAATATTATAAAAACCGCATATGCGTTGAAGTTACAACATTGTAACTTCACGCATAGTATACCGACATAGACGCTAATTAATAATTAAATTTCTACAATATATAAAGACTATCTTCTGATCGATAATAAAGTTTTTATTTTACACATTCTGAAAGTTTAATAATATTACATATGCATAATATAATATATATGTGCGTACTACGTATAAAATATGAGAACCACTTTAACTTTATTTAACGTGGATTTTCGCAATTCTATGTCATTTATATACAACTAATAATATTTTTTTTAACAAACTAAAAATCAGAACTTAAATCGAGGGTTCAAACATATAATGCAATATCAAGTAAAGATATTAATATTGTGAAACATTCCGTTGGAAAGCATGTTTACGCAATATGAATCTTGTCAGAATAACGTTTTTCATAAGCGCGCACACTTGTGTGTACAAGTCACGTTTCTATGCGGCGTACAATTTAATAATAATATCTTCCTGAAAAAGCATATGATTTTGTAATTTTGCAAAGCACAAATGTTTCACCACATAGTCGAACTACATCCTTTAGCGTGCTTCTTACAGAGAATATTATTTCCTCCTTCTTTATTGTGTCCCTTAAACACTGCTGTCAATATTAGCTTTGTTTTGAACATAAACCACAATAGCGCGTGCTTCTCGTTGCAAAGTTCGGACAAGAAAAACAGAAGTTGCGTATTAATTCGGAATCTCATTTGCAAATTAAACGAGACGAACAGTCACGTGGTTGAAATTGACCGATTGCACAAGTTGCGTAAGCGCGCAACAAGAGGGGTGTCAAAGCACGTGACTCTGGTTAATTGCTGGCGGCCTGTGTTTGCGTTTATCTTATTGTCGTTCACAAGGTCATATAGGAAATCCTCGCCTACTACCGTTACGCTTGTCACATGGATGTGAAATAACACGAGCGATGCGGCACGGCGTTAACTCGGTGCGGACACACACGCGCGGGATTATCGATTGCTGAAGATCGCCGCGCGCGGCGACGGCCAAAGCGGTCGCCATTACCGGGATTGCGGGCGTCGCATTAGGTAAGATCCAGCCTGTACACATTCTCATTCGGATAATGCACCGCTAAGTGGATGCCCCGTATATGTTGCGACTCGTGGCCTATCAATCTTGATCTCGGCTTATACGAGAGACCGTGCTCGCAATACACACTATCGAAGGATCGGTATACGCTCTCTCCTTCTCTCTCTCTCTCTCTCTCTCTTTCTCTCACTGTCTAGGATACGCGTGTGTATATTCGTATATCCGCAGATGTGTGGACACTAACACGCGCGCGTGCCGTTAATGCACATGCTTGGATTGAACGTACACCCTGATAGGGCAGGTATGTATGCATATATATCAGTGGATATGTACATAGAACGGTACAACAGGGTCAAGTCATACTGATGGCTCATAAGATCAGGTATACGGAATGTATGAGGTCAATGGATACACTTGCACCTACAGCCTCACCCAACTATCTCGTAACATTCGGTCTTATCATTGCGTAATATTGTTCATAATTGTATATTCCGAAGCACATTTATCGCATTTTCGGTTTTTTTTCGTTTTTTGAAATAATACATTCGCATTCGCAGTGAAGATAATTTTTATGAGATCAATTAAGGAATTACACGCGGTAAATATTGTTAAAGTAAAAAAAAAAAAAAAAAAAATTATATGCGTTATTTATGTTTTTTATTTTCACTCTTAGTGAATTCTATATACAATGTCATAACTATTACAAGCCATAATAGTATTCAGAAAAAAATATTGGTTACTAAAATTAATTACATTAGAAATCTTTGCGCTACCTGTATATCTACATTTATCTTTTTACATGCGTTAAGTCATATTTATAAAGTTACAAAGAATCAAAATTGATGAAGCGTAGTTTTTACTACTTTTTGCACAAAAACTTGAGTAATTATTCTCATTCAGAGTATATTAAACTGATCATCATGCTCAAGTCTGTGTATGTATCCAGGATACACACGTTCGGGGGGCTAATACATCACACGAATATTGACGGATAAACAGTTACATGCGTACGTAGGTATATGCGTTTCCAGCATATCTGTAAATATACGTATATGCGAGCAACACATGCACACGGACGTTCCGTTCGAGTGAAATGCCAACAGTATGCAAGGCATGACGTGTAGTCTTGCTCCGTGGTATACCGAGGCTGACAACCCATCATCGGTGGGGCATCATTGGGAATGAGATGTAATGGAAGAATCGAGAATTTGCGATTTGAATGTCAAAGAACACATTGATTTCTTTTGTCTTGAGAGATAACTTTTCGAGATGAAATCGATGAATTTGTAATGTTTTTAATGAGAACTTAACTTATCCGATCGAACGCACGAATTTTCCGTGCTACAGTGTCGCTACTAAACGATTCTCTTTACGACGCAGAGCTAAAGCTTTACGATCACCCAAGTCCAATGATTTCCCTTCGCGCCGTTTCACCTGGCAATTTCGTGAGCTCAAAACAGGATTTAACGCTATTATATAGATGCTTGCGAGCTTGCCACAAATAGCGACAGAATATTATATATAAAGCAACTTATGTATACTAACTCAGAATAGTTTTTATCTAACAATAAGCTAAAGTCAAACTCAAATATCAAGTATAACATAAACATAAGAAAATTGCTCAATCTGTGTACATTACTAATGATAATTATAAACAAATATCTTTCAGTTATTTTATAGATGCTGTTTAGTTATTTCTAAAATGTTTATACTCTAAAAAAGTGTATACGCTATATCTATCTTTTAATATAATTGTGTGTGTGTGTGTGTGTGTGAATATACGTTATTACAATATTAATTCACAGTTTGACTGAGAATATATAAAGCGTACATACTTATTACGATAACATATACCTTAACAATGTGTACTGACTAACTGAGCTTCCGTTCTAATTTAACAGGAACATTATCTTGTGTGTAAGTTGTTTTACGCCGGATTTTAACGGTATTATAACGTAATACCGTTAAAATCAAAATGAAACACACACGTAACAGACGAATTCGAAACTGTTGTAATCTCGTAATGTTTTAATCTTATCCGCACATATGCATAATTTGTGATTATGCACGTACATTGTAGCGATCTGTTCACGGTAGTTAGTATTTAAATGCTACTTCGTAAATACGCTGTAAATATAAACGATCTTTGGATTTTATATACGTCATTTATTATCTCGCAAATCCATTTGTATTTCTTCCAAGGTTTTGCCTTCGGTTTCTGGGACAAATAGGTAAATTAATACCCATATAAGAAATGTTATTGCGGTAAATATCCATAATGGTGCGTACGTGCCGTACAACTCTTGCATGACCTACAAACAATATAGAAACAAATCCTGCTATTACATTATCATACGCGACACACATTTAGGTAAAGAGAAGAACAATTATACGCGCATGTATGTAAAAGTTAACAAGTAACGTGTCTTTAAACGTGTAATGATTCATTTTCTTATCACAGTTTTAGAAGTACAATACAACAGTATAATAAAGAATATTTAAAAAAATATGAAAAACAAATATCTGTACAACAATTTGCAGATATAATTATAAAACACGTTTTACGAAGATCAATTTAATGGATATTGAATGCGTATTGAATGGCTATTGTTTCTTAAACTCTTCCGCAAATCATAGAATTTGAGCTATGTATAATTTGTACATCGGTATTTTCTAAGCATGGGAGACGATATTAGAGAATCTCTTTGATTGTCGAAGCTATTAACCGGTGACGTTAAATATCGCACTCCGGTATAATGCTATTACGAAATAATGAATCCTTTTTGGTTAAACCTCTTAACCGATCGTTACCTTTCGATAACCCGCTTACTGCAAAAACAAAATCGATTCTTATACAGAGACATCGTCAACATACCTGATAAAACTTCACCACGGTGGTGGTGCTTATGGCGTAGAAAAGGGCGTTGAGCACCGCGGCTGGTACTTTAACTTCAACACTAAAGATCTCGCCTATGTATGCGAGCGGTATCGGATTCAGACCGAATCCGTAACCCAGCACGTAAATTACCACAAAGACCGTAGGCACCCACTTGAATTGAGAGATGTCATAGCCGGCAGACTGAAACTGGAAAAAAATTGCTATCGCCGCGAGCGACGTTACGCAAATCGGCGCGGCGATCAACAGCAGCAATCTCTTGCCGGTGATGCGCACTAACGTCACGCAGGTGCATCCGGCCAGGACGATAGCGACGCCTGTTATAATGATGCTTGTATTCGTCGAGATCTCGAAACCGGCCGCGTCGTAGATGTATGACTGAAACGTGAGTATCGGCGCCGCCCCCGTCATGGTCAGACTGCTCAGGAGTATCATGCCGATTCGAAAGGCTCTTCTGTTCCGCGCTTTTCTGAAAATCTCTTTGAACATGTCCTTAAGAGTCATCTCGCTGCACTTGTCCTCGGTCTCCACGATTCGTTTCACCTCCTCGAGTTCCTCGTCCACGTTCTCTTTGCCCAATGCCCACTGAAGTGTCTTCTCGGCGGTACCGAGCTTGTTCTTCCTCGTGAGGAACACCGAGCTCTCGGGCAACCATATGAAGGATAGTAAAAATATCACCGGCGCGCACACACTTATCATCGCCATCACGAACCGGCTGACCCACAGGCCGACAACGTAGATGAGCATCAACCCGATGTTGATCAAGACGGCCGTTAAGGTACCTGAAGACCCCGGTTTGTTTAATGATGTCTTTTTTAAAAATTGCGAAGTATGTATAATATAATCGTCGATCATAAAATAACCTACTTGTACGCGTATTAAAAACATATTCATGTGTATAGCTATATTAAATAATTGACAAACATTACAACAATAAATATAGTAATGTAACGATAAAAAGTCAGACACTGACGCGCATTCAAAACAGCTGATATCGTACCTAAAGGACCTCTGGTTTGCTTGCTGCTAATCTCGCCAAGATACATCGGCATCACGGCGTACGTTATACCACATCCTATACCCGCGAGTATCCGTCCGACATATATGAGCGGTACTGACGTAGAAAATCCAATGAAGATCCACGAGACGATCTTTGGAATGGTAGTGACTAGCAAAGTTCCTTTACGTCCGATATTGTCCATCAGTACGAAGGGTACCAATGAACCGATACCGACCCCTACATACAGGAGATTTACGATCCACACTATCTCATCGGAGGTCACTTTCAGTGGATCCTCGCCGTTGAACTTTGGTATCGTCGGTGTGCTCCATCCCTCATGGAGGCCGCAGTCGATAATCAAGACACTGCCTGAGAAGCAATCGTTCAATTTTTTTTCCCGTCGATATTTGCGAGAAATATTTCGGAACGATAAAAGCATTCATATACTTACATACGAAACCAATCAACGTTTGACGCAATATACCACGATCCATTGTGTTCTCCTCGATTGATTTCACATTAATTCACGTTAACAGTTTTTGTTTTTTTTTTATCGTTGCTTTATGTCACGATGTTCGAAACGAAACAGAAAGTAGTTGCTGCTATTACAGCAGCGTGTGCACGAGGAATACGCGAGACGATTAAGTAATATCTCATGTTCGCGAACAGAAACTTCTCACTTTTGTTTAATTTACACTTCTATAGTTGAAAATGACACAAGTCACATCAGCTCTTACATAAATGTCTAGCATTATCAAAACATCCGGCGGGAGACGATCATTAACAGATTGCGATATTTATCTTCTCGTGAGATTTGCCTAAAAAAATTGTATAAAAGTAAGCAACACATAATTAGTCAAATAAATGAAACTTGCTTTATCTCACTTCGAGTTTGGGCAGCGCGATTCTCGGTTCATATTCAAAATCGCGCGAAGAAGAAAGAGAATGAATGCGAAGAATTAAAAATACAAAATGTCATATAATTAACGACGGCAAAATGTCGCGACTGATCTTTCTAATCCGACAACACGGAAGAGAACCAAGTCGAACGCGGAGATAACGGGTGATAAAGCCAACGACGATACTAACTAGATTCCGCGCCACATATCTCCCGGCTTGAAGGTGCGATACGGTCACACGTGTAAACGGCTACGTCTGCATGCATGACCGCCGTCCGCCGCGGTCGTTGAGCACTTGGGCTCTTGCTTTGTAGCACGCGATGCAATGCTTCCCAAAGCGACAGTTTATGGCTGGCCATACAATACACCTACTATTAAGAGACGAACCGGGCGCGTTCCTTAACATGAATTTATCGCCGTCCAACTCACCTTCGGCAGACGCGCCATTGATAACGGAATAACCGTGCAAATGATAATTGACAAACAATTATTCAGAAATAAAGTAAAAAATAAATTTACATCGTGATGTGTTAACAATATTTTTTTTTATTTTTTTAAATGACGTTACGGCGAAGTTTTACTCTGATTATTTCTGGGATTACAGAACGTTAAATTCGCGCGCGCGCAAAAATTGACTTGCACATCTTATGAAAGTCGAGACGCTATTATACAACAACATATCGCTGCTGAAATCGAAATTGCGTTAATCATTTCCTTTGATGTTTCAGACATCGCGCGTTTTGCGACATAATTCGTCTTTCTCTTTCGTAACGAGATTAGAGAAAACGCCGACAGGAAATTGAACGAGCGATATTACGCAATACGCGATCGGCTCGTAACAAGGATAATTGTAGGTTTATTGCTTTAATTACGCGCGGACTCTACAATTACTGTAATTAGATGCAATATTCAATTTTTTCCCTTCGCCTTATCTATATATCACGCGTCATGCAGTAATCTAGTATACTATAAATAATTATCCCTCGTAAAACCACAAAGTATAACTTCTAAATAGAGCAGCATATTTCCGACTTTGAGTGCACGAGATACAAAAATATCCGTTTTTTCACACAAATGAAAGAATATTCTCCGCTCAAACGACGGATAATCGCTGTCTGGAACTCTGGTCTGAGCCAAGATCTTTTAATTTATACAAGATTCCTTTGCAAAACCGGTCAAACTCTTGAAACCAGTTAGTTTTGCGTTCTTTTGTTTTGCTGAAACAGGTTATCGGAACAAGCCAGAGACGTCGTTGTATTGACAACTCATGTCGAAACACACACATTCCTCTTCGTTCAGTTACTTATCGAAAACGCAAGGCCACGGTTACTATCTCAAGGTCGTCGCGTTCAGGATATGTTATCTTAATTACACGATCAATGAACAGTTGATCGCAATATTGCGAAAATAAAAGAATTGATCAGATTAATTAAATTGTAGATTGTAATGTGCATTAGATAATTTTTATCAACACTACATTATTTTTCTTACAACTTTGAATAGAAACAATATATTATGAAAAGGCTATAAGATAATGATAAATAATTACATTCTCTTTTATAAGATTTCATTATATTTTCTAATCAATTCTCTTTCTAATCAATTTTAAGTTAATTTTTCTTTAGAAAAAATCTATCAAAACCAATTAAAATTTATTTATTTATAATTTATACGGGGCAGTAAAAAAATTTGCAGTAAATTCAAAAAAATATGTCTTTATCCATCGAGAAAGAATCGAATAGTATAATAATAATAGTATAATGTTAAGCACTGTGTTTTTTCTCGTTAATGTAAAAAGTATATTACAATGTTATAATAAATGTATCATATTTTACGCGTTAAAATCCATTATTAATGTGAAACTCGAACAATCAACAAGCATGAACTCTATTAACAGTTATATAAGAGACATTACACACGCATATACTTTATCGCAATCACATCGTTACACCTGATTCAGCAATGACCGGTGCTATTATAACGAAAGGATTTAATTCGCCTTGATTAGCGGCCTGTTATCTAATTACGAAAGAGATAGCTAAATGTAAACGGGAATTGCTCAATTACGTTACTTGATGGATTAGGTGGATGATGATACGAGCTTTCATACGAGTTTGATTAATAAACTCTACCACAGTATAAAAATTGATCTGGTATTGTATCTGGTGTATTATTGTTTTTATATTTAAATTTTCAATGTAAATTCTCTTAATCTGATTTTATAATGCAGATCTTTTTAAGTATGATTGTCTGACGGTTATAATACGCTTGATAAGTATGCCTGATATATATAGACGGATATTCGGATTAACACATATTAATGGCGCAGGTCATTCACTGCATTTGTCGATCTTCTTTGAAAATAATTTCCAAAGATTTTTAAAAAGGTTTTATTTACCTCGAGCTGTGTTTCAGACACAAAGACACTTGAGTCACGCACGTACTAACTGAAAATCTGTTAATAATAATATAACTGATTTTTTCCATAGATCTAAAGAAATCTGAAATCTATTGTTTCGGTTCGCGATTTGTAGAACGGAACGCGCAATGAAAGTGTATTCGCGAAAATAATTGTATTGACAGTTTCACGTTGGTAAAACACCTGTCACTGCTATGAGAACCGAGAACGAGACGCCGGAATCACGACGCGCGCCGACGACAACAACGACGACGACGTTGTCATTCTGAAAGACGTCGGAAAGGATACTGAGCCTGACTCTGATACGCAGACTCTACACAGTGATTTTAATCGAATTCCCCTACCATCGAGGAGCACTACAACGTGACTCTCGTGGCTGCTAATTATTTTCCCGCGTTAATTCTCGCGCGCGTGCGCACGGTGGTTTTTCGTGTGGTTTTTCATTTCGTTCTCTATTTCGATTCTGTCGCTTAACCACCTTTTAGTATCAGAAACGCGAAACACGCTCGCAATATCGTGTTCAAAAAATTGCTTCCACATTCGACATACACACGGTTAGTGATTTTTTTCGTTGCTGTACGCGCGCGAGCGTGACGGTGCGAGTGTCGATTGACAAGAACGGGAAATTTGATACACTCGCTATTAATGCGCTGTTATATTGCCTATGGATCTAACTTCGAGATGAACGCAATAACACGTGAGAGAGATACTTTTTTCGTGTGATCATTTGCAAATTGAGAACTAGCTATCCTATACATATTTATTCGATCATGTCGTCATGCTGTCATGTTTATTTAAGTTGTTCGCTGAAACACACAAGAAATGAGAAGAATGCGAAATCCATATAATTATTCCAGTCATTAAGTCGAGCGCTCGGAATGTGATAGTCGTTAATACATTTGACATTGCAAGAAGGACAAATATTGCGTGAGCAGATTTACCGACAAGTTATTGTTTGATTATAAAGTATTGCTCGCATTAAATTGTGAGAGCTAAAACCTACAAACTTTATATTGTTTAGCAGAAAGATAATTTGATCCTTGAGTTCACCGTCGTGTGACAAATAACGAGTTAATATTGTTTACCGCGAACATGACATTGAAATGTTTTTTTTTTTTTTTTAAGTGTTTATAGTATATCGTCAAAGTTTTTTGTATTCCTGTTCTGAATAAAATTCAGAAATATTTATGGAAAGAGAGAGAGAGAGAAAGAGAGTGAGAGAGAGAGAGAGAGAGAGATAAAGAGAAAGATAAGTGCAAAGTAAACATCAACAGCAGAAAATCTTAAATGCATTTCAAAGGCATTGCGACATAGAAATCTAGCACTGGCAACAGGAAATTCTTTAGAACGTAATTCACACACACCGAACTTTTTTTATTTCTGTGCCGGAAATAAAATGCGATTAATGCGACCATCGGCGAGTTTGTAAAAATACAATTGTAAAAGAAACATCTGATGCATTTCATCTTCGGAATTGCATCAGTTTTTACACATCGTCAGACTGATCTAGCATTGTGTCATCACTTCGCATACGTCGGGAATACTGAAGAATTTATTAAAAAACATTAAATTCACAATTTCCTCGTATCGAGAGTTTTGACTTGTTATTAATTTTTTTTCATGTATATAACTTCCTGTCTTCATGTTTCGTACTATTGTATTCATTAATTATATGACGTCAATTGCGCGTAATATATTCTGACATTGAGATTGGTTTTCCCATATTGCGTGCGCGATGTTACAAGTATTAGAAAAGACAATAAAACTCAATTCGAGGAGATTCTGTAATATTCGTGAAAATGTCAACCGGAAAAAAGTTGAGATCGGTTGAGTAACAAAAATTTCGCCGTAGAATCCGGATAATCCTCGAATGTCGCTTCGTCGTCTTGCTTCTTTCTTCATACTCGCTTTAATCGAGGGAACGAAATGGTTAAACTACGTCAGATAGTGGCAATACGAAGAGTCGCGACGAGGTAAGACGGCGGGAGGAAGGAAGGAAAGAGGTCGTTCAGCGAGCGCGAGAGACAGCACGATAGTCCCTAAAGTATATTTGCATTTGCATTCGGTAATTAAACTCCCTCAGTTTCCGCGATACTAGACTACCACCAGCTCGTTCTTATCGGAGTTTGTCGAAGAAGAGCAATTGGTCGGCTTGAGGAATTCCAAATGGCTTTCTCGTGCCCGGGGCACGTGACCAAGTTATAACGGCCGGAAGTCGGTGAGATACAAAACTGTCTAGCGATGCCGCGGTGATTAATCGTTTCGTTCAGTTCGAATTATCCCCGTGTCCTCATTAATTAAGTAATTAAACCGCTGTCGCTTTACTTTTATCACAAAGATTGACATGAGAGATTTTATACAAAATAATAGATGAGGAGAAAGAGTTTTCTATTCTACAATTTGTATTAGTTATCGTTTCAAAGTTTCAAGTTATTTGTGACACCGAATCGTTTTCGGAAATCTTCAATATTTTTAACCATTTTCACATTTTATTGTTATATCGTAAATACTTTGTTTTTCTCAAAACTGGTTTACTTACAATTTACACTTTATTGGAATATTGTGCACACGTGGATCAAACAGAGAAATAGCTGCGGAACATAACAGATGACTACCTTGTTGAAAGATACATACATAAGATGTATAAGATAAATATCTTGTTTTTCTCGAAAATGTGTCGTACAAATCATTTATTTTGCATAGAACTAGAGATGTATGTTTAAAACCGAAGAAAATCAATAATTGCAAACAATTTTATGAAGAAAATGGCAGCACGGACATTTATGTCTCGTTTGAATATCACAAAAATTATTGATGTGTATGTATTCTCTTTCTTCTAAATCACTGATCTGTTACGAATATGTCTTTTAAAAATAGCCTGCACACGTATAAACGTCACTATATTACTATGATTAGCACATATAAAAAGTGATAGTTATGTGTTGGGTTTGAGACACATGAGTGCATGTTTTTTATTCTACGCAGAAGTCGGGTGAATCCACTCGATATCCCCATGTCTGCGATATCGACGAAGTTGGCCACGAGAGACCGAGCCTACTTGGTTGGGTATAACAAAAGGAGAAATATATCGATAGAAGGTCGGGATGGGTGAAAAGGCGCGAGAGTGCTCTGCACCGCCCGCGGGCTGTGCGCGCTGTAAAATGAGAAATGCATGAAGAAGGCAACGCAAGGTAAAGAGACTTACCGTCGTGGGAGTCGTAGAGGTAGATGATTTTCTTCCAGCCGTAGTATCGCACCGTATCGATGATGGTGCGATGGTAATCCGGTCGCATACTTATAGCGAAGTCCAGAAGACCCGAGGACGGCGTCAGGACCTGTAAGAGAATCTTTGTGCACTCTCGTTCGCGCAGTGTTCGTTATCTTTGTCGTCGTGAAATTTTCAACATCCCATGTCTTTTCGCTTTAACGTGCTTGCCGAAAATTAATTCTATTTAGGAAGGTAAAGGAAGGCATACCGCCCGAAACTTTAATCCGACTCGGTGCAATCGAGCTTCCAACTCCGCTCGTGAATTCTCTTTGAAATTTAATTCCTCATGAGTGTGCAACCGGTGCGACGGTGATTTACTGCCGAAATATATGCCTTTTGATAGTAATTTCAGTTGTGTCGAATCCCCAAGTCGACGTTCTTCACAAAACACACATCTCCGAATCTCAGATTTTATATTGCAAAATGGTTAAAATTAATTCCAACGATAGCAATAATTACTCAAGTAATTGATACTCCATTTTCTTGGTGAAAATAACGTTTTCTTTATTGTGTCGATCTTTTCGACATTATTAAGGAAAAATCAATACTTCACGTTTTAAAGATTAATCACCGTCCAGTGATAATTATATATTCATACAGTAAATTTCTGTGGCATCGATAACGTCTCTCTTTTCCTTGAGAACAAGGCAGCGAAGCGAGCGCAGCGCGGAGAACGACTTCATGGAAATTGAAAAGGATTTTCCCTGTATAAATGGCCGTTCCTGGCGAACCGTAATTGGCCCAAAAAAAGAAGTAGAAATCCGAGGCGTCGAATCAGCATTACCGCGCGATTACCATTTAAACGACATCGACGTTCGTTACACACATACATATATATATATATATATATATATACATATATATACATATACATACACCACACGGAAATATATTGTGGGAAAAATACACACACAAAACGCGCGGCCAAAATACTCACGAGTCCGACGTTCATCCTATAGAGCCTGGGTGCGATATCAGTTTTGCCGAGCGGGCACAGCAACCGGCGCGATAAATGCAGCTCTACCATTCGAGCCGGCGAATAAATTTTCGACCGAACCAATTCATTTCGAAATTCAAATTGTAATATGTATGCCGTATATATCGCATACATATTTACATATTTGTATGGATGACCGGTACCGTTCACATCCATCGTCGTGTGCGCGTCGCTAATTATCAGTTGCAGCGCGAAACGAAACTATTGATTTCGCTCTTACGACAATTATTGCCACGTGCGCAAACACATTCTAGCAAGTATTTTTATTTTTTTCTCTACGTTGAATCGATAAATGAGACGGAAAATTTACCACTACTACATATTGCGAACGTTTCGTTGCAGACACAATTTCTAACCGCAAATCGCTAGATTGTTACGCATATGCTTCGCGATGTAACTTTTAACAGAATTTATTTGAATTAAAATTAAACGCGTGTAGTATTTGAAGCTTGAGGAAGACAATTTATAATATGTTTAAAAAGCAATGAGAAACACTCCGAAACTTCATTAATATAAAATAAAATATATATATTTTATAATTTAGAAGCAGAAAACCGGTTTACTGTCTTTTAAATTTCCATCTTGTTGCTTCAGTAAACCGATGAGAACACATACGATTGCAATGCGGAACAAGTTCCGCGAATAAATAAAATTCAAATGAGACTTCGATTCATTGCTATGCTTGGCGCGAAAAAACATTGGTTATGACTAATCACGTTTCGGACAAAAAGAACCATGTAGGATCATCCTTCGAAACGATGACTGCGTGATTTCATGGAACTTCAAAAAATTCCCGGAGTGACGTAAAATTTTATAACATATATGTTATTTAATCTGGTGTGATTAATCACCGCAATTCCGAGATCTCATTTGAAAAAACTAATAAGAAAACGGAAAAATTATGATAATGAAGATAAAACCACAGAGAGAAAAAGAAGTTACCTTATTGTATCCGTTAAGGTAACGATTAATTACCTTTTCGGGAAACCACGGCGTCACAAACGGCATCTGAAAGGTGTTGCTGTAAGAATGTAGCGTATCGAACGAATCCGGACTTACAGCGCCCAGCATCGAAAAAACGCCTCTGCTAAATTGATTGCAAACTGCAACACAGAAAAATAAACAATCGTAATTAGCGACAGATAAAATAAAGTTTACAATGGTTTGTTATAGCACGTGGACATATAATTTTACACGCTTGTATTATTTGTAAACCGTTATTATTTAGCATCAACAAATAGCTAGTATTCACTTTGTGAAGATCAAGTAACCGTCATGCGATAGGTAATCTCGCTGACCATTATGTGTCGTATTCCACAAAGCACAATAATACCGCAAAAGTGTCAGCTTGCGGTACACACTGAACGCCTGGTGGGTAGATTCGTTTTTATTAGCACACATTGGGGAATAAAAAGTATGACCGATAAAAACAGCGTATGTGGCGCAGGGCAAGCCGTATAGATCTGAATTTAATTACCACGTTAACAAAGTCGCTTTTAATAACGCAAAATAAACGACTGAGTTGAAAAGATTTATATTATAAGTGTGTATATGTAATTATTATAATAATAAACATAAAATATCTTTGTCAACCAATGCGCGAAAAATCTGAATATATATAAGTATTAATTTTTTTAATTCCATGCACATTTTACACGCAAAGTATCTCCGTTATTATTTAAAAACAATAAAAAACATTTTTTATCAAAAACGAACACTTTCTCTTTCCATTATGTAAACATTGATACTTTCAATGCCATGATTACAATATATCAAACAAATAATTTTTTTCCATTTATTCAACGTTGAGAATATTGGATATAAATTTGAGTAAAACTAGTTATAAATAAAATAAAATAACAGTATTATCGTTGCTGAAACATATTATACATAGAGAAAACGAAAACCTAAAATCTCATACTAATCATATACATAATGTATATACATGTACAAATAAAAGTTCAATTATTGTGACATTATTATGAAACATTTTATTGAATTATGTAAAGATAAGTGAGTGTAGCTTCAAGATTTATTGAATGTTTTGACGCAACGTATGACAATATCGAGCTTCGGTATCGCGGTATTAAATCACATTATACAATGAACCAAGATAAATGGTGATAATGAACAAACGCAATAAAATGTAGAAAAGAATGAAATCGAGAAAGGGTGAAAAAGAAGAGTGACGGAGATGAGATATCGGTTGCACCGATTGCAAAGGTGAGAGAAGATTCAAACGGTTGGAAGCGATCCAAAAGAAAAGGTAGCGGATAAAAGAGCGCTGGCGAAGGTAAAGAAACTGGGAGGAGCCGCGAGAGAGTTGCAACTACTACAAGTTAATCGCTAAAGAAGAAACTGACAAGACTCGTGGCCGGAGATTTTTGCACCGTCCAAATGACTAACGAAGCAACGGTGTTTTCAATGTTTACTTAATGAAAATAACATTAAGCTCCTTTCTCTCTAAATAAAAAAACTCGTGTAACTCGATAAATGTAGTTGTCTTATTTGTCGTGTAATTTGGTTGTTTTTCTCAAACCATAATATTACTATTTTTCTATCAGTTTAATAGTATCGTAACTATATTCAGTATCTAAAACTGAATCAATTATTTTAATATTTAACATTGATTCTTACAATACAGTATTTTATTCTTTGGCAGCAAGAATGAAAATGGTGAAGATTTCTCGACAGTAAAATCGACGCTTGAAAAAATCGCGTATTTAAAAAGACTGCACACAGCCGAGTATTATATATATACAGCACATCACCCTGAGGCAGAACTTTTCCATTGATTCAAAAAAATGGCTTCTGAAGCCGTCTGGGTTTAAATCTACAAAGGGAAATTGCGCATATAGTAATTGATGCCCTCCAGCAACGGCTTATCAACTATTTCGTTGTTATCGTTTCAGTACCGGTGTACACTTTTGACGCGCAGCCTACTTTATTTTAATTATTCTTTTATGCTCGTCCTCGCATATCCGGAGTAAAAAAAAAAAAAAAAAAAACAGACGAAAGAAAAAAGAAGTAGAGACTCTCTAGCGCCGTTTTTTATTTTCGTTGTCCCGCGGCTACCACGTGTACGTGCAGTAGAGCAGAATTCAGAGATCCGGTGGTGCGGCGGCATTTATTGTGGTCACCCCGAGGGTGCATTTATATTCATAAGCATAATGGGGCATCGTGATATATATATGTGCACCCGCGCCTTGGTCAAGAATGTCCCTTCGCTCTTTCGTCATTATTAATTCTACGTGCTTTCGCGGCCGTGCCAACACTTGCCAACATTTGTCGCAGCCGTAAAAATATGCACGTATACACATCTTTTCCCTTTTCCGACTCTCTAACTTCCCCCTTCTCTGAGTGCCGCAAACTACGCTTCTAATCGTAAGTTGTAACCGACAGTTGTTACGAGGAAACATCACGAACAGAATTTTCCTTCAAGGATCGAGCATCTCTGCATTTGGTATTTTCAAACATATGTATATACTTCTTACGTTTCAACACCGATTATATACCTAATCCTGACCTAAAGTATCGCAGTTATGCATGCGTTGCTACAATATACAATTTGTTCAATTATTTTAAATGTGCTTACATAAAACTGCAAATAATGTCGCGTTTTTACGTGTAGAATAAAATATCCGTAAAGTCAATATCAACAATTTGTTGCTTTTTCACCTCAAGCTTGCGAAAATTTTTACAATTAACCACTCAAGAGGTATATTTGTACAATATTGTGAAAGTTTCGAATCGATTCTCGATGCACAGCGCACAATGAGCGTACCAAAGTTGCGTCAAGTATGCGAACGGGATGTTCGATCAAGTAGGCGGCAGATGGTCGCAGTATTATCGACTCTATACATTGGCTCGCGACTAAACAAGAGAGAAAAGGAGATAGATAGAGAGAGAGGATAGTTTAGCGTCTATTATTATACTAAATATATCTAGTCACTGCTCGCGTGCAGCCTGAGTCACGCTAATGATGCTGGCAAAGTTTGTATACTGCTAGGACAGGTGCTACGTTCATGCAGATGATACTTCCACTATCTAACTTTGTTGTGCATATGTACAACAGCAAGACGTACGTTATCCACTGACCACCGAATAATAAATAAGCGATAATAAAGCGCCCACAAACAGAATATACTTATACACGCAATTTTTGTAAAAATAATAATTTAGTAAACGAAGACACGATGTGAAAGTACGCGCCGAGTGAAGCAAGACAATTTACTCACAAGAACCTAATCTCGACTAAAAAAAAATTCTGTTCTCTCTTTGCTCTTACTTTATTCTCTACGCCGCCTCTCCTTTTTTCAGTTTTTTCGTTTCAGTCAAAAAGTTCAGAAGACCATTTCGTAACTTAGAAGCTATCAACGGGAACACTTGCTAGCCGGAGAATGCTCCGAGAGGAAGAGAGAGAGAGAGAGAGAGAGAGAGAGAGAGAGAGAGAGAGAGAGAGGCAGACTCGAATATTCGCGCGGAGCAAAATTATTTTTTACTCGCAAAGTTTCAAGCGCCCGTCGTAATATAACCGGACTGTGCTCTTCAACTGGGTCGCGATGATGGTGTGTCAGGCCAAGCGGACAACTAGACAAATCTCTCTCACATACGCTCGACACGGTTAGGTATACTGTGAGACTTCTTTCGCGGAAATAAACTTAGCGAGATCGGTTACGTCATCGTGCTTGTTTTGTCGAGATCACCCGTGTGCGCACAAATAACTTTACAACGTTTGCCTCAAAGTGTCGCAAAAACATATTCAAATATCTCAAATCTAGCGAATGCGCTATAGACAGATTATATCTACGCGATTATATGTAGCAACTGGAGAACAACTAATTCCAACTAGCATTCACGGACCATTTAACTTGGTAACTTGTCCTATCACGCATGTTTCTATTTGTCCTTTAGCAGTCGCGGTAGATGTATCGGTGCACACGTAGGAGGAGGCGCGACGCAAATACGCGGGCGCGCAGCGACCTTATCAGAATTATCAGAGCACTGTTTCCTGGCCCTCTCTCGCATCCGTATGAAGTTCGCGGCGCACAATAGACAAAGTTTCCGCGACCCAACGATTATCTCGATTTGAGCCAACGCGCTTGGCGGCGCATACGAATTCCGCAGAAATTGTTAAGAGCGACATACACACATACACTCTTAATCGCGGTCTTAACTCCGCGGAAGATACTGTACGCATGTTGCATCTAACAACAACAAGCAGTCGCGCCGAGATTGTCACGCGTCGAATAAAAATTTCTCACTAAAAGGAGCGAACCGAGAATTCGGATAAAATGAGCAAATTTTTCGATTTCTGCAATGAGCAACTTTACGTAAATGCTCATAAATCTAATACTCGCATAAATCGCGCCAGATATTAAAGATAACGGCAATGGAAGAGCGTCAGTGGTATAATGATGTTTCCAATTAAAACTTGAAAATACACGCTAACGAGGAAATGCAGACTTGCGTAGAGTTCGGATAGAAAATTAGGTCAGACCACTATAAATTCGTCGAGATCGTATGAAGTTTGCGCGTATATTTATATCTTGCGTTCTCAACGTGTGTGTCACATTTTTTCACGTCTCCGAATCTCTTTGAATGTTTCTTTTTCTCCGCCGATACGCGCGCTTCCAATATCATCTTCATTACCGTTCGCGCAATCATCCACGAACGCTTTAATTTAACCGCAATTATTAATCGCGCCGAGCATTATCCGCGAGGAACGAATCAGAAATGGCTGCGTTTTCGTTTTACGGAATCTACCGTGCGGCGCGCGGAGTTTTCATTTCGGACGGAAGCTAAAAGTCGCGGCAGGAAGTAGCCATTATTCTTCCCGGGCGATATGTAGGAGCGAGAGACGCGCAATAACGTCGAGGAATTTTCCGAGGACCGTCCGGTTTTCCCGCGCCATACCCTGCGGTCTCCGGTCTTTCCTCCCGTGTGGTCCACACTGTGTGGCTTGTTTTTTCCCTTGCTTCGTTTTCCCGTACGCGAGCGGGAAACTTTCTCTTCCCTTCTTTCGTCTTCAAACACGTACAACCGCCGGCGTAGAGATTCACCTGTGCGTGAAAGCAGACGGGGCACGAAGTCGACGAGAAGT